TTAGCCTGTAAGAAGCTTCTTTGGATGCAGTCATTTCCACTAATCTGACTGAAGACTCTTCTGTGTTAATATAGGGCTTGGGCTATAAATATAGTGGTTACAGCTAGTAAGGCTGGCACCGTATCTGAGCGGCACAGTTAAGGGATAACCTGATCCCTGCCTCTGCAGCGTTCACATGTATGTGGCTTTATGAGCATGCCAACACAGTAGAGATGTTAGGCCAAATGGATGCAGCCTTGTTAATTCTTGAAGAGAAGCCAGCTCCAAGATCTGGTAGTGCTGAGGCTAATTGCTGCCTGTATAATCTAATGCACCTCGCTCGAGCTCCTCGTGCATTGGTTTACTCACCTGTAAAACACGTTTACAGATATTATCATATACCTTAGCTGCTTCTGAGATTTGACTTTGACCACGTGAACCTCTTGCACGTGGTTTAAAATGACATTGTGTAAGCACAGTGTTGATATTGTTCATGCGTAATAGATGTATCGTGTTACTTTAGCTCTCAGATCACAGTTTGATTTGATTTTAATATACCTGTTTTCGTAAATAATGGCAAGCTAGTAACTTCCCGCTCAGGGCAAGTGCTGGTGGGTTAAAGTAGTTGTGGCAGAGATCTTAGATTATTTCCTGGGTAGTTTGCAATTATCAATTATGGATTAAATATGGTAAGAACATACCAAAAGTGTATAATAAAGTTAATAAAGAGTTATCTCTTTATTAATGCCATGACCTGTGTGGTTCATAACCCTTTCATATTGTTGCAGCCACAGTTACCTTGCAGCCAGGAGTTAGGGGAAGAACCTGATTACGCCTCACAGCAAGGGGAAAATCCTTATGCCGACTCTCAAAAGAATAGGCACCATCAGATTTATGCCAGCTCCGTGGTAATCAAGTGGTAGCAAGACCTTTTTTCTCTGCTTTCAGATCACGAGGGGCACATACTCTTCTCTTCTCAGAATAGTTTTCAGCTGACACAACCCCCTCTAGGTTTCCTGAATCACTGGCAGCTTATGATCGTGTATATAAATGTGAAGGTGGCTAGCAGGGGCTGATTTTACACCAGCTTTTAAAAATGCAGCAGAATTTCTCTGTGTTATCAATACTTTTTGCCCTCTGCATCTCCCCATTTGCTTCCAAGGGGCAGGACTGGGTTCCATATTATCATATTATATATGATAGTGCCTGTTACAGTGCTTCTGTTCTAATTAATACTATTTTCTGGCAACCTTTATTTGCATTACATCTATGGATATCAACATAGGTAGTCTGATAACGTAACACTTGTTAATTCAGCAGCATCACTGTGTCAGATCTGTAATCCAATAATAATAACAGCAGCCATCTCTTGCGTAGTTTCTTCTGTCTGTAGACCCAGGGGATGACACAGTAAGTAAAAGCATTTTTCTCATTGTAATGCAAGAATCAGATAGTGATATTTAGCAATACAGTGAAATACAGGAAATATTCATATATATAGAAATACATTCCTATGTAGGAATATAGTGGAATATAGGAATCAGGTAGTGAAATGGCTTATTCAAGGCTGGGCTGTAGGCAGTGGCAAGGCAGACAAGGGAGCAGTCACAGTCCAGTGCAGTATTTCTAACAGTGGTTGTTTCCCCAAATATATATGAGGGTTGCAAAATTTATTTTTTTATATATATATATATTTCAGATTACAACGTTTGCATTAATACCAAAATAAACTGTATTTAACGTAAACTGGGCTTGATTTTCTGTCATTCATGAAACTGAAAAGGAGAAGCCCTCCAGGTGTTTCCATTTTCATGAAGTAACATCCATCATTAATACAAAGCAGAAAATAATTGTCAGACTTCACATAGCATCCTGAAATGATCCCACCTCATCATGACTTGTTGGGAGAATTTTGAGTTAAAACTTGGCATAATCTTAGCAGCAGTTTTGGGGATTCATTTGGGTTTCATTTGCTTTTAGAAGTGTCAGTACAGTAAGTACAGAGCGGAATTTTTTTTGACCAACAGAGTCTTGAAAGACCTGTTCACCATCTCTGAGTCCTTAACTTGGTAATTATTAAAATCAGTTATCAGGAAGGGCTCTTTTCTATAAATCTATTGTGTAGTCCTTGCCAGGGCTTAATCCTTTCAGCTGGAGCCACTCAGAGTATAAATATATGTTAGAAACAGTAAGTAAGTGCTAATGATAAGCTCACAAGACATAAAATATTAGAATGGGTTGGTACATTTTCTAGCCTATTTGGAGACCTGTACAGTTTGCTTATATTGAATAAAAAACCTGTAAAAGAGTATTTTTGAACCATTTTGTCTGAACAAACTGAAATGTTGTTCTATGAGAAATGTTTCCTTTTCCCAGTAGCCATATAGCCTAAATTGCACAGGATCACAAGTGGTTGTGTGTGCATTTTGATACATGCCTTCAAATTGGAGTACCTTGAAGCAAAATCTCTTTCCTATCATACGTATTTCATTCCCTTTATAGAAGGTGCGGTTTTAATGCCTGTGGGGATTTTCATAGGTTTTATTGATTGGCATAACTCTTTTCAAGTGAAGCTTTTTCAAGTTGCATGTTTTATTAGGTTTGCATTAAAATTTTTAGAAGTTTAGTAGACCACATTGTATTTATTAATTCCAGTAATGTATTTTTATAGTCAAAACCAATGGCAAATGGATATTGTGTTCTCAGAAAGCTGAAGTGTTGGGAAACCAAACATCAGTCTATAAGGGGTGTTTTTCCCGTATGGAAATCAGTCAATAGATCCAGGTAACTGATACAGACCATGGCTTACACCATCGGTCATGATGGACCACATCACCATTCTGTAGGTCTGCATTGACTTGACTTCAGCGATGGCTACTGGGAAAAAGTAGGAAAGAGGGTGCAGGGTGGCACAAACTGTACCAGCTGAGGGTACCATAAAATAAACCCACATTTTTGCTTCCATGTGTGTTAGGTGGTCATATCATTTACAGGAACAGCCGTAATGTTTCAGATAAAACTTCCTACAGGTGACACCTGTCTTGATCAAACTGTGTTTCCTGGGAAGAGCAGTGGCCATCCTATCTAAATGGGCTTGTAGATTGCCAAAGGGCTATTGGCTGCAGCAGTATCCCCAAATGTATATTTAGCATTGTTTGGAGGTTTTATTTCTTTGTCTAAAAGTGATGATAACCCATTTTTCTTTGACCAAGTAACTGAAGGACCTTGACCAGCCACCAAGAGGAGATGGGTCAGTGTCTGGTCCTTGGTGGTTGCTCTGCAGAAGCTGCTGCTGCCTGGAGAGGTCTATAGTAGAAAGCTCAAGTCCCATGGGGCATCTGGAAATGAGTGTTTAGATCATTTAAACTTGAGAATAGTGTTAATGAGGGTTTTCAAAGAAAAGATGGAAAGAAAAAATGAGGTCTTCACTGATGGGTTTTAAAAATTTGCCACAGGAAGACTATCTGGAGGTTCCTAATTTGCTGATATTCAAGTTCTTTAATGCATTTTACCACTTTCTGCTACTGTATGCTTGGCCTTGTTACAGTATTTTTAATAAGGTGATTTAAAGTATTTAGAACAAGGCATGTCAGAAATAAGTGAAAGGAAAAAAAATATGGGAAAAATCAGTTATTAACTTGAATTTAGTGGTAATAGCTCAAAACCCAGCATCTCTATCTCCCCTTATTACTTTGTTGGGTATTTTCTGATTACACCATGACTTTCACATGGGAGATAATTTTTATCTTTATTGGGTATTCTGAGTAGTGGTACCCAAATTTGGCAATCTTCTGGAAAACCAACCCTAGCTCTATCCTTTAAAGAGAGGGTTTTGCCTACCTAGAGACCTAAAAATGTCTCTACTATATTTTAGCTTGAAATCAATTTTGACTGACAAAATGCCAGTCCCGAGATGAGCAGAAGAGACTCAGCTGTAAATGTGACACTTCCTGCAGCAGGGTACTCGCACCTCATAATAAATGCTATTTTGTGCCAGGAGGCTGCGTCTGGGGGGGATCGATCCCAAAAGCTGGACAGACATCATGTCAAGGTTGCACCAGTTGCATCTATCTTCTGGGAAGGACGCAGAGCAGTGTTTGCTGGCAGCGTAACAGCAAGTTTCAAGCAAATAGAAGGGTATATTGTTAAATTAAATCATCCAAATGTAGTTTCCATTTATTTGAAGAATTATATCAGCATTAGTAAGGGGTTAGGTGTGGTAGGAGCTATGAGAGCTGGTGTTGGAGCAGGACTTCGCTGAGTTAGGTGATGTAGGAAGGTAAAAAAGCAAAAAGATGGGAATCATTTCAAAATTTTTAAACCTACTATAAATTTTTACAGCCTAAGGTAAAAGCAGGGAACAGAGGTTGATGTATGACCTTATCTCTGAGTAAAGCTGCCTATATCTTTCATATTTGCATTTTCCAACACAGCTTTATAAATAGAGTGATCAATACACTTTTATCAGAAGAGTTCCTGGAAATGGTTAAAAAACCCCATCATTCTTAAATTAAGTTGTTAGCAGCTTATCAGAAGCAAAATTGTTGAAAATTCATGAGTTACATGTGGTGAACTGGGCAACAAATTGTAATGAGGAAAAAAATATGCATTTCATCTCTTAAATAACATACTCATGTTTATAGTGATGTGATAACATGCTTTGGGAGAGCTTAGGAACGTGGATAACATTGCCATCTAATTCCACCATGGGGTTAAGGAGCTGAAGAGCAGCAGTACAAGGTCTCCTGCCCCGGTTTTTGGCACGTGCCCGGGGCAGGAGCTGCGCCTGCTTGTGTGCAGCCGTGTACCTCTTTGTGGCTCCAAAATACCCTCTGCTTGTGTTTCCCAATGATGCGCCCTAGAAACTCCCCCCAGCAGCTGTGACCTTTCTCCAAGTCCCGAAGTTTGAAGCTGGAGGGGCTGTAAAATACCAGAGCTCACCCAGAGGGACAAAATATAGTAACTGGCTGGAAGGAAGCAGGCGTTTTCCCAGGAGGAAATGGTGGAGGCAAACAGTAGCGATGGAGTATTCGGAGAGTGAAGGCAATTCCTCTGACGAAGAGTGCTGTTTCTCAGGGAGCAGCGATGAGTACTCCTGCGACGAAGTCCAGAAAGCGTCCGAGTCAGTGCTCGCAAGCAAGCCTTTCACATAATTCCTTGTGGCATTTGATGGTGTGCACTTCTAATAATTACTTGTTGCATTTAATGCCCTGCACTTCTAATAGCTACTTCGGCATTTAGTGCCGTGCACTTTTAGTAATTGCTAGTTGCATTTAATGCCCTGTACTTCTAGTAATTACTTTTGCATTTAATGCTGTGCGCTTCTAGGAATTACTTGTTGCATTTGATGCCCTGCACTTCAAAGAATTATTTGTTGCATTTAATACCATGTGCTTTAGCTGGTGGCTGCCTGACGAAATGTTACGTTTTAAACCATGGACTGACAATTTGTTTTGCTTGAAGGTGACTGAGGTTAATTTGTAGATCACTGGCATGGCCCTAGGTATGTGTGTCATTTTTAAGCCTATGTGAGGTGTTGGCAGTGTTTGGAAGTCTGAGTATGTCTTGTATTTGACAGCTGATGCACATAAAGGTTTAACATATGTATGGAACTGAAAATACATTGATTTTTTTCCTTCTGTTTTTAGAAACTTCATGAGATTTTTAATCCTGCTTGCAGCCTGATTGGTAAACACCCCCTAACACGAGAGCATGCAAGGTTTATAAACCCACTTACAATCGATTTAGACTGTGGAAATGGAAAGCTGCTTTCCCTTGTCGGTCCCTTCGTTCGGTATTTGCGGGACAAGGGTCCTGCAGCAGTGGCAGCGGGGGGTTGTATGCAAGGATGTGGAGGATGGGTTTAGAGATACCCAAAGACAGTGATTTCTTGACTTAACACTTCATATGTGAGCCACTTTATCATCCATTAAAAACCCCTGGTTTTTTCCCTGACTTACCAGTTATTTCTACTCCTGCAGAACATAAGGAAACCTCAGAATTGCGTGACTTTCTGCATTACAAAAATCCTGCCATCCCTCTGGTTCGGGTGTTCGTGCGAAGTGAAATGCCCTTTAGGAAAGTGCCTTCATTCTACATTAATTTCATGCTGATTAAAAAGATGTGTTAAGTACAGGATAGTGGAAACTGTAACAGTTACTTGTGTGTTTTAATCTCCAATGTTAAGGTTTATTTAAAATGTTTGAACTGAAGCCACCAATAGCTGTGTTTTACTTATCTGTAGTCATATAACTCTAACATAGTAACTATAATCAGGTCTGTAACTATAAAGGTATAAACAGTCTTTTTGTGGCAGAAAGGCATCTGAGATAATGGGACAATACGTTAAGTTTTAACTGGAATTAATGAACCAAAAAGTTTGCATACTCATTTTAATGTATATACTGTCAAAAGTTGCCTACAGCAACTTAATGGGATATTAAATTTATCATTCCTTATTGTCTCTATATTTACCAAAGTTTTAGAAGTTAATAGAGATAATTTTCTACTGCTATTTGGCTACTTCTTTCTACTTGCTTTAAATTATCCTGATTTTGTTTATCAGTATGGGTAAATTAGCACCAATACCCACTTAATTTCATTGAAAATAGACTCAATGACAGCATTTGAATGTAGGCTTGAATGTTAATGTTTCTTTCATTGGTATTTCTGCTTGCTCTGTTTTAAAGATACTAAAGTAAAGATAGCTCAAAAGTAATTAAAGTTAATTAAAGTTACCTTAAAGGGAGAGTGCATATTCCTGTATGAGTGCACATGCACCACGCTTTTTTTTTTACTATATTACTTCTTTAATACCTCCTATTTTTAAACAGCGGAACTGCTATTTCTAACAGCTTTTTTAAATCTCATTTTCTGCTTCAGTGGAAATGTACAGTGGTTTTCTAGTCTAAATGAATTAGGTGTGTTTAAAAGAGGTGGGTCTTGCCTGTGATCCACTTACCCTTCATGCAGGGAAAAGTTTGGAGAGAATTTGAATAAAACAGCGACTCTGAATCCTGTACATTTGTTTGGCCAACACAGAAAATGCAACGGCATCTCTTAAACCCTGACGAAACACTGAATCAGTCTGATTAAAATGAATTAAATTCACATTTTATAGCTTGGACTGGCCACGGCCAAATTCTCAGTGGGGCAGTGAAAGGGAGAACACAAAGCATTTGGTAATGAAGACAGAGAAAAAATTCGAAGTGCCATATTTTTAATTTCTGGAGAGCTGGTGAAAAGTACCAGCACAGTGTTTTAATGCCAGGACGTTTCAAAAGCTCCATCCTAATTGTGTCCCTTTTGTAGGCACAATCCCAGCCTTCTCCGTGCTCAGATAGCAAATGCATAGCGAGTCCTATAGCCTACTGTATACGTTGTACCTGCTTTGAGTAGCAGAGCTGACGTCCTACTGAACTAAATGCTTCGTGTTCCGACACTGAGATACTAAGTAGGTTTTGGGGGAGAACGACATAAGCAGAAGTCTAAATGTTCGTAAATGAATCTATGCAAATAGCTAATATTTTGATAAAAGTGTTTCTCTGCACAAATGTGCATAGTAAGAAATGAGTTTTTGCCTAAAACTGATGAAAAGCATGGGCTGATGCGTGGCTGGATGTCTTATTTACAAGGGTAGCCTGTTTCTTTCCTTCTGTTCATGCGTGGGTTTTAGCTTTTGCGTGCTTGAAGTCCGTACAGATGATGAGCATCAAATCAATATAGGGAAAAGCTGTGAAACCCAGAAATTTATTCTTGAAGTGCTTTAAGAATGCTGTATGTTTGGAAATAAAAAGATTGTCATGAAAATAATACAGCTTGCTTAAGAAATATATTTTTTCTTTCAGGGAAGATGTCAGAACAGCCAACGTCATTGCAGCTGAAGCGGTAACTTGTCTGGTCATAGACAGAGAGTAAGTACATAATTTTCCTGCCTTGGGGTGGGGTGTATCTCCAGTTCATACCTTTTACAGTTTTTAACTAGAGCCTTTGATCATTTTCTCCAGAGAGGTCATTTAATTTTGAGTAGCACAGTCACAGTATATATGTGTCCTTGATGAAGGAGAGGGAGGGTCCCCCTAAATCAATAAGAGAAAACTCAGTAGTGACAAATGCAGACAATTAAGAAGCGCAGAAAGACAAAATGGAAATAAATGGGGAGATAGCATTACTGTGGAAAAGGATCCAGGCATTAAGGGTGGAACACAGATTGAGTTTGAGTTGGCAAAATGTCACGAAAGGCATTGTCATTCTGGCAAATGTTAGAGCAAGATGTTGTTATTCTAGTCCCTGTGGGGATGGAGAGCCCTCGTCCAAAGGACGTAACCCTGCTTGAAGCTCTGCAGCTCAAAGGAGTTAGAGGAGATCAGGAGAGTAAAATCATGTCTTATAGAGGGAGCTTGAAGGAATTTGGGGGGGTTAATCTAGAAAAGAAATGCCTGGGCTCCAGAAAACAGTGCTGCAAATTCAACTGCTCTCTACAATTGTTGGGAATGGGATTTAAAAAAATCAGCATCACCTTGAAAATTCAACATGAGTCTTGAGGTGGTTTTCCAGTTGTGAGAGCAGTGAAGTACTGGCATAGACCATCAAAACGTAGGGACAAAGCTTCCACAGGAATCTTTCCAAGGGAACGTAGTATAGGTCTGTGAAACCACAAGAGACATGTATAGGATGAATGGGGATTGACTTTTCACTGCTTCCCCCAGTGCAAGAGCTCAAAGAAACCTGCAGGAGGGAGCCGAAAGCCAAAAGGAGGCAGCTTTTCACACAGGGATTGCTCACAGAGCTGCAGGAAAACAAGAATAGTTTGCAAGTGTTCAAAAGGAAAATAAATCCTTTGGATTTATTAAATATGTAGGACCTACCTCTGGGCTAGGAAGTTTTGGAGGCGCATAGGAGGGTACCAAGACAAATATCACAAATGGTTGCTCTGTCCTTGAACTCCTCCCTGAGCACATTGTCTTGATGCAAGACACCATCAAAGGTCGGACACTGGGTTGGGAGTGACCTCGGAAGCACTTCTTATATTCTGATGAGGTATATGAGAGATGCTCAAGTATCTTGTAGGGATGATCTACATACACTCAATCCTACTTTAATACAAGGCTTTTGTATTCAGTTAGCCCTTGAGATTTCTTACAGTCCTTCATTTCTAGAAATCTAATGTTCTGTAATGGTTGAACTGGGGAATAATCCTAGGTCTTCTGATATGTTAGTTTGTTTATGATCAATTAAAAAAAATTATGGTCTATCTGTTGAAAACAGATGGTGAACTTCAGGACTGTCAGCTGAGTGGCTTGCTTTCACACACACAAGCAAGGTAGCCTGGTAGATAAAAGACACACTATCCTTTATCATTCTGTGGGGCAAAGAGAAGAAGAGTTGACATAATTAGATAGTTTAGCAAGCATTAGTTCAGAGACATACAAAGCAACAAGTAATTTATGCATTTTTTCTGAACACTTCTGTAAGGGATATTTTTGTTTTGCACTGTAAGCATTAAAAAAGCCCAAATAACTAGTAGCTGCAGAGTCAGTCATTCCTGATCATTTTACAGACTGTTTCTTTGCTTGTCTCTTGTGCCTTTTCCTCAGTATATAATGCCTTTGAAATAGTAAGAAAGTACAAGTTAAATTTAACTGAGGGAGCTGTAGTTCATCTATACCAGAGATTCTAGTAATGCTCTGCAATTAGTAGCAGTGTAACGCTATTTAAAAGAATCCTATTTATAGTGCAAGAAAAGTAATGCTATTTATAGCACTATTTATAGTTCAAGGAAGGTTGTCCCGTGTCCTGACCAGTTCTGACTTTTTGTGATAGCTCTTCTCTTAGATGATTGTTTTATAGGCATGCAAATAACTGTAGAAGCTAATTTTAATATCGAGAAAATCTACTAAGGCTTCTGTGAATTTGAAAAATTGTGCAGGCACTGTTCTGTTAATGAGGAAAAATAGCATTTCTTTATATCCAGATACAAAGAATATTACATTTGGTTTGTTACAGTGGTCATGGTAAAAGTTCAAATTGAGTTATACACACGGTAGCAATGGAAACTGGAAGTCAGCTTTACCAACAGTTGGAAGCTGTTCTGCACAGAAGGAGGAGTGATGCATGTCATTAAGTTTGCCTAGTAATTTCTATTACAAGACAAGCTCTTTGCTTAATCAAATGTAACTATTGAAGCAGCAATTTTCATGCTCTGTGTGTGTCTCGATCTGAAACATTTCAGCAAAATTGATATTGCAATTTCAAAGAACAAGTTATGGGAAAATATCGTTTTCTTAATGGTCAATCCATTTCCCTGAGAAACTGCAGAATTTCAGTCTTACTGACAGTAGGGGTTAATATTACTCATTGACATTATCTTGTCATCAGGGTAACTCTTCCAGCTTCCTTGTAAGAGTCTTCCCAAAACATCAAAAGATTGTTCCGCAACACCGGAGAGCCACACTGCCAATACAGCTGCCGTACTCCCATGTAGTTAACACTTGAACTGTAAGAGTCACACCTTGGTATCACAGCAAGTTATTCCTAAGAGAGATGGAAGACTGGTCTCTGGATTTGGCAATATTATGAGCAATTGCAGGGCTGTTTTAGTTGCTGGAGGGTTTTGAGGGTAATAATACAGGAAGCTTTCTTTGTAGGCATCAGCCAGGCCACCAAGCAAGATCTGGTTGAGCTGGCTTTGAGATGGGACATTGCTTAAGCATGAAAAGATGAAATGGTTTGCCTAAAATAATTTCTGAAATTCAAAAAGTATGTATTAAAATGGTACAGGGGTGAAGCAGTGGCAGTTGTAAATACTATGAGGAAAGCCAAACTGTAGTCCATGGTGGGTCTTTAATTACCAAACTCTCATGATGTCAGTGCTGCCTTGCTTTTTAATTTCCTTGTGAAACAAGAAGGCCTTTACAGTCACAAAAACACTTCAAAGATGCCCAAGAAGTCATATAGCTATTTCTTGCAAATCTATGTAGACGTGCTTTGCAACAATGGATTTTCAGCATGCTTTTCTGATGTAGCAACAAGCAGAGTCGAGATATAACAAAGAAAACGACGGGCAGTGCAGCAAGCATTTGATGTGTCCCACAGACTTCAAGCCATTTTGTTCCCACTTGTCCTGAAAATATTTGTTACAAAGGACAACATTGACATTCTTTCTGTCTTGCAATTACCTTTTTAAGTCCCTTCCTTTACCATAATGATGAATTTCAGTGGGATTTGGTCCTTAACGCTCCCTGACTTCATCAGCAGTCTTCACCATGCAGGAGGTAAGATGAAGCCAGTCATCCAGCTCCAACCAAGCTGTAGGAGAAATTTCAGCTGACTTTGCTAAGGCTTAACGTCAGATTATGCCACCTTTCGTTCCCGTGTGAATGAATAAATGTTGCTCAGGAACAACCTGCAAGTTGAACATCCTTTTCTCTAAACTGGAGAGATACGGACTGTTTGGTGGGGAAGGAATTGGCTGGATGGTCGCTTCTGGAGAGCAGTGGTTAATGGCTCAATGTCTGGATGGAGATCAGTGACAATTGGTGTCCCTCAGGGGTCCATGTTGGGACCAGTACTGTTTAGTATCTTCATCAATGACATAGACAGTGGGATTGAGTGCACCCTCAGCAAATTTACAGACAACACCAAGTTGAGTGGTGCAGTTGACATGCCTGAGGGATGGGATGCCATGCAGAGGGACCTGGACGAGCTTGAGAAATGGGCCCGTGTGAACCTCATGAGGTTCAACAAGGCCACGTGCAAGGTCCTGCACCTGGGTCAGGGCAACCCCTGGTATCAGTACAGGCTGGGGGATGAAGGGATTGAGAGCAGCCTTGGGGGTGCTGGCAGATGAAAAGCTGCACATGAGCCAACAATGTGCGTTCGCAGCCCAGAAAGCCAACCACATCCTGAGCCGCATCAAAAGAAGCGTGACCAGCAGGTCGAGGGAGGTGATTCTCCCCCTCTACTCCGCTCTCATGAGGCCCAGCTGCAGTACTGTGTCCAGCTCGGGTCCTCAGCACAGGAAAGACATGGAGCTGCTGGAGCGGGTCCAGAGGAGGGTCACAAAAATGATCAGATGGATGGAGCACCTCTCCTGTGAGGAAAGGCTGATTGAGCTGGGGTTGTTCAGCCTGGAGAAGAGAAGGCTCCAGGGAGACCTTATTGTGGCCTTTCAGTACTTAAAGGGGGCTTATAAGAAAGACTGGGACAGACCTTTTAGTAGGGCCTGTAACAATAGGACAAGAGATAATGGTTTTAAACTTAAAGAGGGTAGATTCAGACTAAATATAAGGAAGACATTTTTTACAATGAGGGTGGTGAAACACTGGCACAGGTTGCGCAGAGAGGTGGTAGATGCCCCATCCCTGGAGGTGTTCAAGGTCGGGTTGGACGGGGCTCTGGGCAACCTATAGTGATACTGCAGTAATTCATCCTCTGGCAAGAACCTAATTGTAGGAGATGCATGATGTTGTTGCCTCCAAAGTGTTTCAAGCTTGGCCCTGTCGTGGCTCATGTTAGTGAATTTTCCCTGGAGAGGTTACTAGATTTGTTGCAGAAATACAGTTGGACTGATTGGGGAAAAGTTAACAATTAATGATATGCTCAATTTGATGGATTAGTCCTCTAGGAAATTTTCTATAAACGTCTTCTGATAAAAATTGTGTAGACACAAGTGGGACAACCTTGACCATCTGTTTTGTAAATCAATTTGAATAAACATGTACAGACACACTTTACTTGCAGCTACTTTGTTTGGAGATAAAACAGGAGGAAAAGGTTCAAAACCTGTTCCTAACATTTTGATTGTTATTAGCACCCTGAGAGAGAAGTTAGTGCAACTTTTTAAACTTTTTTTTTTTACATGTACCTTTTGAACCCGAAAGAGTGTTTGAAAATGTTCATCGATTCTCCTGAACTATAAGAATATTTACACTGAAGTTGATTCAGGTTCATCTTTTATTTATATGTGATTTTTTTTTCTTCCATATAATTTATTTATGTTGAAAACAATGTTTTGCTGGAGCACTGAGACGTACCAGGTGTAAATTCTGTGGGTGCTGGGAGTGCAAAATTGCCTAATGCAAATGTTAGAGAGGGGAGCTGAAGGATAAGAGCCACTAAAACTCAAGGCACAGCTGCTGCTGACAGGCTGGTAGTGCTACAAAAGTATGTGGTATTTGCAGATACTGAGTGCTAAATGCTGGTTTTTCTGTTCATTGTCTTCTTCGGTTACGCATATCAAGATGCTACAGGTTATTTTAAGGAAACATTTTAAATACATCAGGTATTTTCAGATTTTTCACTTTGCATTTTACATTTTTGTCTGTACTTGAAAGGCTGATTTTGTTTTTTAATGGGGATAGCTATGAGGTGTCAAGAAAGGTTACTGTATCAACCCTTTTGGCAATGGAAATTGGTGAAAAATAAAATAAAAAAAGTATTATCCTAGCATGACTGACCTTATACAAGCTGAGCTGAACTCTTTCATTGGAGACTTTAGGTTTTGCTGCTTTACTGTTTTTCCCAGTTGGGGTGAAGTTTATCCATGGAGAAAATTGGTTATGAGGAGAGAATAGAAAAAAATGAAAATAGAAGACTATGCAAAGAAAAAAACCGAGAAGTTTTCTGATTAAATTCTTGGTGAAGTTGTGACCAAGATGATACTTCAACAGTGTTGAGATAGGCAATAAAAAAGTAACTCGAGTGAACTTCAGTATCTTGCTGAGTCCTAAGTCTTGCTTAAGATATTTTAATGAAAAGCTTAAGGATATTAGACAAACTGTTGTTAGTCCTTTCAGTGACTTTTTCTTATTTGCCCATATAATGTTTCACTAGACAAAGATTTATTTGCATTGCCAAAAAAAATTTGGATGTTTAACCCTGCCACATTTTCCTAACCACATGAAAGCAAAACAAGCCTAGCTATTTTAGATTGCATTTTAAGCCTTAGGTCATGTCTTATAGCATGCCAGGAGGATTACAGTATTATGTGTCTCACTTAATTGTCTAAATATCTGTTTGTGGTGCAAGTGAGCATTAACATACACATCTTGCTTTGCTTTCACTGTCATCTTTCAAGAGTTTCGCTTCATCCTATGGCGCATCTTCAGCACAAGAAAGATAAACCTTGATGTCTTAAATGAGCTGAATTTTTTGTATTTTCACTGCTGGGTAAGGAATTTGGGGTTGAAAAGATACTCTGGTGATTAACACGTCTTAATATTGAAAATTACAGCTTGCCTTGTTAAAAACCCTAACACGATTTCCATGCAAGAGCAAAGGGCTCTTTGCCTTCTCTTCCTCATTAATGAGTTCCCATTGCTTTCCCCATGCTGTGTAAGTGATTCCCTAGATTGTGCCATTTAAAATATTACAAATTAAAGTGGAAAACTCTAGGAATTTGTGTGGGCAGAGGATATTTCCAGAGCAGCAATGACTGTAATTACATAAAAGGCCCGTTACAGCAGCTCTAGATCTGAACCAGTATAAATACCTCTCCCAGCTGTGAGCTCTTGCCTCATATTTATTACAATAATAGGTAAAATATGGCTTTTTCCAGCTGCTGTTCATAAAGCAAGATAATTAAGCCTCCTTTTGTTCTTCTGGAAGTCGTGTCCCTGCTTGCTGCGTGCACATGGGGTGCCTTGCTTAGGGTCAGGCATCTCCTGACGCAGCAGGACACTTAAGTACCCACTTAAGACCTTATGGCATGTGTAAGCTCCTTGGGCAAAGCACTGTCCAAACTGTTTTATTGCACTCAAGGCCAAAGGGAGTGCAAAGTCACCCTGGTTAACCTCATACGTTGCAGGATATTGCATTTCCCAGAGCTGCCCTCTGCTCAACCCAAATACATTAGGTTGATGAATTCTGCTCATTGCTGTATTTTCACAAACAGCTGGGGTTGGAGCTTTTCGGTCAGTAGGTTGTTCATCTGTGGCTCTTTATCCTACATAACGTCATGTGATCTGAAACCAAGGGATTTAGGGAGAAAAATGCAAACGATCTGCAAACTGTTACCTTTATTAACCTGCCCTGTATTTTCCTCACCTGCTGAATAGCATTAATTCTCTTTCAGCCTAAAAGTCTTTGTTGAGAGAGGGCCATATTAAATATTCTGTTCTTATTCCTAAACTGGTAAATATGGTCCTAAATGGTGATTTATTTTTTTTTCCAAATTTTTTCAACTCTTCAATTAATTTTTTTTTTTCAAGTTCTTAATAGCCATTTCTGTTCTTCAGGTCTATGTTTAGTGCTTCAGGAGTGTCACGAACATATAGAAGCCAGAGGAACTACAGGACTTTCATTTCTGAAGCTGTGACCTTAAGGCAGAGATTATTCAAGAGACTGTAGTTTGCAGCAGTTTGTCCTTTCAAATTAGCGTAGTTCTTTTCTAATTTTGCAAATGGTGCTTGCTTTCTTGAAAAAAAACCCTGTGTGACAGACATGCTGGGAATAATGGAAATGCATAGTAGGAGCTATGCTTTTCACCTGGAATATTTTCAGTTATAGGTATTAATTGATTTCAATTATTAAAATTACTAAAAATATTCCATTTCTACTTCCTACTTAGTCTCTGACGCTGTGTAATATCACTACCAAAGACATAACCGTTGTATTTTTTTTTTTTCTTTCTCTGGAGTGTTGCTTGTTAGTTGATTAAATAGTCATTGGGTCCATTTGTTTGAGTCACTCATGATATAAAAAGATTTTCTAATTCTTTTTCCAATATGTCTATGCCCTTTGTATCTCCCCTGGGACAGAGGATGGTGTTAGGGGACTGCTCAAGCTACTCGCGGCTTGTACGGAAGACAGCTCAGCACCAAGTGTATCAGGCCCTCCTAACATTTCACCCCATCTTACTCCATTTAACCCAATTAAAGCCAAATTTCCTCTTAAATGTTATCAAGCAGTTTGGCTTATGACAATTTGTTTGCCTTTCTGCCCTCGCTTTCTTTTCCTTCTCTGCTTCCCCCACCCATTTTATTTCTCTCTGCTGTGTTTTTGGTCACTTTTTCTCTTAAGATGAGAAATAAAGATTATCCTTCACTTTGAAAGCAGAGAGATTTCTAGGGTTTCTTGTTGGAGGACAGGGATAAGGTGGTGGCACCTCACCATCATGGGACTACCAGCTACGCTGACGGATATTGATGGGAGGGAAGACTTCAGCAGTAATTGCAGGGGGCTTAGTCACTAAAAAAGGTGGATAAATAAGTTTGGATCTTCTTGGCATTGGTTATTGCATTTCCACCCCTTTTCCAGCACGTCTGAGGCCGTGTTTCCCAGCAGATGCTGGGCCCTGGCCCCGGTTTGGTTGGTCACAGCCATCCTCAGCATCAATGGACGGCTCCTGGTTGCTGCCAAAGAGCCATGTTGGCTTGCTCGACTCCCAAATGGAGACTCTTCCTCTAAAAATGCCCCTTTGTTTTTACAGCTCCTTCAAACATCTGATTGGGGGCCTAGATGACGTTTCCAATAAAGCCTATGAAGATGCAGAAGCAAAAGCAAAGTAAGTGTTGCTCGTTGTGTTCGGCATAAAGTCTTAACCTCATTTTTATTGATGGTACATCACTGTAATTCAAAAAACTCCTGCTTTTTCTCAACACAATAGTATAAAACAGCTTAAAAAGTAGTGAATTAGGTGCTTACTCTGAATTTTCCTCTGGATGAATTTCCTTCTGTCTCCCTGGCTCTCTCCGTGAACATGGGAGGATCTCCTCAGGCCAGTGCCCAAAGCCAGGTGGTCCCAAGGTCTGTCTTAATCACAACATTTGAGTCCTCAGAAATGTTGGATGTTCGAAAAATTCTCTTGAAATATTTTAAGGTGAGAAATTACAGATCTTGGAAAGCTCTAGTGGTGAAGGAAACTGTTGAATATGACTTGTTTCTTTAGAGAACTCTGATTTTTCTGAGACATTTTCACGAAGTCAAAACGTGTTCCGAGACAAAAAATGGGAAATTGAGTTTGTCATTTGTGAATGAATACTAGAACTACCTTGATGTGAAGCAATATATTCATCTAAAGTCTTACTATAAATATACATTCCTTTCAGAAGTGAGCTGTATTGTGATTTAAAAATATTTCAAAAAAACCCCCTACTCTTCATTCATTTTTGATCTACAGTTTGTTTTTAATAGGAAAACTTTGTTCTGTCTGTACTTTGATTCTATACCAACAATAAAGCTTTTGAAGAGGAACATGCTCTGATTAGAGGGATACTGAATATAAGCCAATATTATTCAAAGGCAAAAGTTGTTTAAAAGAAAACTGAAGTTGCTCTACACAAAATTATTTTACTTTTCCTCTTATAAAATAATCTTACTTCTTTTCTGATTTTTTTATTACCACATTAAAGAAGGGGATAGGTGTTTTCTCAAAGTCAAATGCTCGGTGTGACTGTTAATCAGTGGTCTGCAGCCATCTAAATTTAAGATTGCTCTTAAGTTATACATAGTAACTTCTCATTAAACCAAAGGGGTTTGAAATAGTGTCTAACAAAGGTATTTGGCACTTCTGTGGAGAGAAAATGAGAAGCCTTAATTAGTTAGTTGATTAAAAATAACTTTTTGTTTGTTTGTTTCAGAAAGTAAATACTGAATCCCAAGAAATTCAGTTTCTTGAACAAGACTTGCTAATATTGCAAAGTACCCACAAATTAAGATAGTATTTTCTTTTTTATCATCTTTGAATGATACTTGGAATGCATTTTTAATGATGTTTAATTTATTTTAAGATACTAGAAGGCACCCCAGGGTTGCATTTTAGTTTAGAATAGTATTTCCCTGCCCCAAATCAAACATGTAAGCTTTCTTCTTCAAATACTGAAGTCCCCTAAAATTCTTGTTGACTTAATTAAAAAGGCAGGAGGCTATCAGCCTCTTCTACCACCCCAGAAAACCGGTATTTGGGGCACAGAGTGCAAAGTCAAATGGACACAGTGCTATAGCAGCAGAGAACTAGCTATTAGATGGTATAGATCAATATGTATTAGTATTATATATATTAGCTATTAGCACCAGCTGAAAACATGGCATTTTAATGCCAGTAGCAGCTTATGCAAAGCATTTTACAAAGTGTTGGAAAATCAACTTAAGCAGCTTCAGAGAGATGGACCCAAGTATCCCAGGCATGTGCTATTATTATTTTAGATTTTTTTTTTTTTTTTTAGTGTTACTATTTGGAATATACTGATTTCTGTCTGAACAAAAGGGAAGAAACCATTGGTAATGAAACTGGGGATTTTTTGTTTTAGTAATAACAAGATGTTGTTATCCCAGAAGCTTTTATAAGGTTACACCACAACCCATTAGCACCAAGCAAAATTTGCAAATAGGACTTGCCATTTCCCATTTCATAGTCTGTCTTTTCACATCTACAATTTTAAGCTCTATTATTAATAGAGTATCACGTAGTAATTTATTATCACAGGAAACGTTTGTGTATGCAGATTGTATCAGAGGCTTTTTCAGGGTAGTTTTGTGAGTTTTAGGGAAGGGCTTTCAGGATCCCTTATGCGCTTTATAATGTGTTGGGGGGGGGGGACTGCAGCTTTGGACCTATTTTGAATAAACTCTTCATTTTGGGAACCAATGGGCTAATGTTGACCTTAACATTTTTGAGCTTTTATCTTCTTTGTTCTTCTTCTTCTCTTATAATGGCAAGTATTTAATCCCAAAGGAAGGGCAAAGCAAAGGATTCTTGGTGATGGAGGAATTGTTCCCCCAAAAGAGGAATTGATTAATTTTGATAGCATCTTCTCTATCTTAAAAGTCAGAGGCCTATGCTTGGGTCCTATCACTCGAGACTGTAGGTGACAGTGACATTATTGCCCTTTGCATATTGACATTTTGACTTTGAAAAAGCAGAAGGGATCAGTGCTGTCTGCCTGGAGAAACATTCAAAAAAAGGAATGCTTTTTCAAAAGATACGGCATTTATTAGTCAAATATCATATTCACATTTGAAAAAAAAAAGAATAGAAGAGGAAAAAAATTACAAAGTTATGTGGAGACTAAAGCGAGATGCATTGTAAGCTATTTCAGAAAGCTTTGTCACTCAAGAGTTACTGTTTCTATATCTCACAAGATAAAACTCCTCTGGGAGAAAAGTCTACTTGGCAGAAATTTTAACCTGGATTACTTTTCAAGCAGCTATTAATTAGCTCCAGCTAGTTGTCCTTCAAGGGCTTATCTTTTCCAAGGGGAGGTTTGTCAAAGGGAAGAACTCGAAACATCAAGCGTATTTGGGTTTGGTGAAGCTTCACACAACTCAAATCACATAAAAACTATTTTTTCCTCTTTTTTTGCATCCTTGTAGCTAGCATCTCATTTTCAGTGCTTGTATGGCAGGTGGCAAAAGGCCTTTGGATGGCTAGAAATTTTCTGTATACCTGTGCCTCACCATGTGTCGGGTGGATCAGGATGATCTATGCAAAGGCCAGATGTTCAGCAGATGTAACCATGCAGAGTAAATACATAAGACATCGTTGTGAGACGTCATTATGGAGTGTCAGAGCCTACTTTTGGCTGGTGTGGTGGCCACATTCAGGGCCAAAATGTGAACAATTTAATATTTTCTTGTCAGTTGCTCGCGGTTAAGAGATGGGAACTGAAATTGTATGTATAAAAATATCTGCAAAATGGCAGCAAATGTATTTTCATATGAATCTACCCTATCAAGGTGATTATTGAATTCCTGTTAATTTGTAGGCTCCTGTTCAGCAAAAGCACAGGTTTAGACTACATCCACTGCAGGGTTCATGTTCCTAAAGCAGGACTTGGGCCTTGGACAGGAGTTCATTGCAGAAATGACTACCAAATTGGTGGCATTGGTGGGATGGTTTTTTATCTCCATGCTGGAGCATGACTCTGGGGTCACAGAGCTGGTAGTCCCGGTGCAGACGTGACTCAGAGGATGTTAGGCAGAAGTTACAGGGTCAGAAGATCTTTCCATGTATCCAACAGTCCTCCAGCTCTGAAAGGTCTGAACAACTTTTTGTTGAGTTTATCTCTTGGTAGCCTGGTGTTTTCCCAGCCAAGCCTTAAGATATGGTTAGGGTCCTCCTAGGACGTGGGAAAATGTTCTAGCAGTCAAACTGCTGTAGACAGCTGACCTACAACTTTCTACCCTTGGGCATGATTTGAAGGAGTGAGCAAGCTCTGCTCAGCTCTTGAAGGCAAAGAAAATACATACCACCATTCAGAAATAGTTCAGCTGAGCAGAGGGGCTTCCTGCACCACTAAATGAGGTGTCACAGGGGGACCGTGGCTTTAGGTATCTGCATACTGGCCGTGGTGGTTGTAGGTGTCTCTCTGTTCTGCATGGGCACCTTTGGGTTGTGTCCTAAATGCCTGGCTCTTGGCCTGCACAGGCAGCCAGACGCCCAACACAAGGCTGTGTCAATGATCCAGTGGGAAGGTCCCCAGGAGTCCCTGCCAAGCAGACCTCGAAGAAAGTTGTGTTTGTTCTTCAAGGGCTTTGGCCTTCCCTCAAGAAGACATCTCTCTGTCTAGGAAAGCAAGTGTGCACCTGGGCCACTGAAAGCAGTGGAATTTAGCAGAGTTGCTTATGTGCCCAAGCTGAGTCATCTTTGGTGCCACTTTGTGAGCTTCCTTAAAGTCACGTGACTACAAAAATTGTGGCTTTCATCTAAATGGAAGAACTCCTTTTTTTATCCTCATGGTTACAGGGGTTGTCTTTATAACATGAGCTTTAACCAGCTAACACCTATTTCGGAGACACTTTTCCCTGTTTTTGCAAGCTTGGGATTGGCAGTTCTCCTTAACACCCATTCTTTGTGTTCAATCTCTTAAATTAGAAATCATCCACATATCATCTGTGAGACTATATAATTAATAGTCTACTCCTCAGATATATTCAGATGAGTTAATAAATTCATTGACTAATGAATATTAGAGTTGCCTCCTTACCAGAGAAAAGGTGAAGGGAGGAAGCAAACATTTAATTCAGTTCACATTCTGAGAAAATGGGAGTTTCAGAAGAACGGTGCTCATGTCCCAGTGTCAGGCCCAGCCACATTGGTATTTAGGGCATGAAGGAGATACGTAAATATAAGCAGGAGACCCATCTAAGTGCAGATTACTTCCAGGTGGAGCCACTACTGCAGCTCTCATAAATCCAAGAGGAAACAGGTGGTTTCTACTGCAGTTGTTGGTGCCAAGTGAGGTGAGGGTTCAGTGAACACTGTTACCTACAGGCACGCAATCCTTTGGGCTGGCATCTTCCTCATCCAGGAACTCCTGAAAGTAATCGCTGCGCACTACTTTAACTGCTAAGAAGGTCATCAGGTGAGGTTCCCTCTAGCTTGGTCCGACCTTTCCGTGACATGGCTGTAGCAAGGGAGAGTCTCTCCCGTGGCACAGAGACAAGGATAGCAACAAGGTGGCCCTCCCCACCAAACTGGGAAAGCTGGCACCTGCCTGGGCTTTGCCTGGCCAAGCAGAACCTATCCGCTCCGATGCCCAGGGTCCCTGCGCTCCTTTTCTACTG